CTCTGACTGCTCCTCCTTCTAAAAGTGTGACCTCTAAACCTCTACCACTTGTCAACAGGTTGGATTCCAGGGAGGGAATTGGAGGATATTTTGGGATCTTCCAATACTTAGTTCACCATCCAAATAAGATTGTTTCTCCCCCATGTGTGGCCCAATACTTAAAGGTACTGTCATTTCTTACTTTTCCAGGACAATTAAGAAACAGTTTCCGTTTCGTGACCAGCAAGGGCTTCAGGAAGAGTTGTTCCACAGGGTCCGTGGAAGTGAAATCTGAAACACAAGGACCAAATACAAAACAGTTACGAGCTGTGGGTTAGCAGAGTCATAACTTGAGTAAAATCCAAATTCCCACAAATAGAGCAATGTGAATTTCTACACTGACTTCTTACACTTCACTATGGGCTCATTATGTGGCCTAGAGAATTTAGGGGAGCAATTTCTCAGAATTTATGTACTATAAACCAGGAATTTTGTCTTCAGGGGTAGGGGAGGACATGAAGGACAGACATGGAAGACAGACAGCTGCTGCTGCTTTTCTGTAAGGTGCATTTTATAACTGGGCTGCCACACTCACCACTGACTTTGTAACATGTCTTCCCTTACCCTTTAAGACCAAATCATTGAAATTTTAAGTTCATGTATATGTATTCCAGGGTGACACTGTAGGGTAAGTACAGAACTGCTAACCACAAGGCTGGCTGTTCAACCCCACCAGTTGCTCCTTAGAACCTTATGCAGGGTGGCTCTGAGTTAGAACTGACATTCACATATACACACACCTACATGAGGTGGCTTCAAAAGTTCATGGAAAAAAAATATATACTTATGTTGTTCTTGTTAAGTGATGTTGAGTCGCTTCCAACTCATGACTCTGATTAAGGTTTCCGAGGAGCAGTTGGTAGGTTTCAACTGCTGACTTTGTGGTTCACAGTCCAGTGCTGATTCTACAGCGCTATACCAGGAGTCTATATATATATACACACACACATACATATGTATCTGTATACGTTTGTTGTTAAGTACCATTGAGTCAGTTCCGACTCATAGTGACCCTGCATAGGGTTTCCAAAGCTGTATATCTTTGCAGGAGCAGAAAGCCTCATCTTTCTCCTGTGGAACAGCTGGTGAGCCCAAAACACTGACTTTGTGTCCAGTACTTATCCTACAGAGCCATCGCACTCCATAGGTGCATACACACACACACACACACACACACACACACACACACACATACACAAGAAGACTTCAAAAAAGTACTTATCCTACAGTATCACCAGGGCTCCTTAAAGTTTGTGACAGATTATGATTTTAGAGAACACACAGGAGTCAGGTTGGTGCTGTAGGATAAGCACTGAACTGCTAACAGCAAGGTTGGTAGTTCAAACCACCAGCTGCTCCTTGAAACCCTATAGAGTCATAATGAGTCTGAACCTACTCAATGGCACTGTATTTTTTTTTTTTTTAACTTTTTATTGTGAATTGAATGAAAGTTAACAGACAAGATCATCAGTTTCACATTCAACAAATCATACACGTTGTTTCATCTCAATGATTCCAATCTCCTCCTTGCAACAACTGTTCTACTTCCTCCCTATGGCTTCCCTTGTATATCTTAGATTTCATAAATGAACAATGCAAAAATATTTGATGTACACATAAAAAACAAGAAATGTATATTTATTTAAATGTCTGAATGGCATTTTCTGCAAGCCAGGCTCCTGCCTAAAGGCACACAGCCTTACTCATCTATGGCCTAGAGCCCGCAGAGCTGCTCTGTCTCTCCATGTCAACAGCCCTTTAGAACAACAAGTGTTCAGTGGAAACCACAATGATTTTAACTGTCCAACAGGTCTCTCAGGTCACCCACTGAATTCTATGGCTAGCCTTTGACTAGTTGTTGTTGTTGTTGTTAAGTGCCATCGAGTCGGTTCCGACCCATAGCGACCCTGTATAGGGTTTCCGAGGGTGTAAATCTTT